AGAGAGAGAGAGAAACAAAAAAAAATGGAGAAAGAGAGAGAGAGAGGTCGTTTGATAACAGGACATTCCTGTGATAACTAGAATGGTAATGATTGGGGGGGGGATGCCACTTAATAGGCGGGACTCATGAAGCCTGCCCCCGGGCCCTTCGAATCATGCGGACCGGCGGTCCCATGTTTTAACACTGCACCGCTGCCAGGGCAAATTGAGGGCGGACACTGATTGCTGGTACCAGTAGCGATAGCAGTGGTTCAAACAGTGGCGGCGGTAGTGATGGTCTTCCGCCAGCCAAGGTAGAATGCCGAATGATGCCCGTTAGAGTTGCTGTATTATTATGAGAGCCGCCCTCCCCGCACCGCACCAAGCTGCATGCACCCCCCCGCTACCGCTCAAAAGCTAAGGGCCCCGTGGTCCCGAGGCCGCGAACACATGAAAACAACAACGGACATGCGATCCCGACACGACGATCGTTCGTACAATTACTCTGCAGTGCCGAGGCCGCGCTCCCGGGGCAACGATCCATCGAACAACAACAAAAAACGCGTTCCAGAGGCCACAACCCATCGAAACGAATGTCTCACCCACGTTTCTGGGCTTCCAACACGGCCAGAACAGGCAACAAACGCCGCCAAAATGGCCCAACATGCCCCCAAAACGGCCGACGATGGCCCCAAGAAGCGGCACCACAGCAGGGGAGCTGGAGCCCGAAGGCAGCGGGGGTTGCTCCCTGCACGTTGACATCGCCTTCGGTTCGTCCTGCACGGCGGCGCAGAACTGGAATCAGAGGCTGGCCGCCCAGCCGCGCATCCCAAACCCGGACGGCCTCCTCAATTCGTGAACGCGGAGTCGAGCGTAGAGACGCTCTATCGCATGAGGTCGGCGATGCTCCGACCAGTGCACCTGCCGGACGTCGACGGGCCCAACGTTACGAAAGAACTGCGCTACCTTCGCGCGCGCGATCACCTGCGCGCAGCGCCAAAGGTCGAGCCGGAGTTGCCGGCGCAGCCGGCGGGGGAGGGCGCCTCCGGCCCGTTCCAGCGCGGCTGGGAAGCGTTCGACACCGCCCAGGAGCAGCTGGCGAAGGCGACCCAGGCGAAGTGCCTGAGGATTCACGTCGGGTCGCGGCGACTTCCAGCATCTGGAACACGATAGAGGTCGGGCCCGCGCTGTGCGGGACGCGCAAAGACCGCGGCGAGGACGTGCAGCGTCCGTACCGTTGCACCCAGTGCACAGAGCTGGGCTGGCGGCTGAAGCACATGCTGACGGCGCAGGAATACCTGGCCCTGCAGACCACGAAGACCGCGGCCACCCGCCGGCCATCCGTGCCACGCACGCGATATGCAATTGAGGCCCGACGATCGTCGGCTCCGGGAGGACAGGTTCCAATATGGCCACGTGATCGGATCCAACTTGGACACCGCGGCACGCTTGATGAACATGCGTGCCCAGCGGGACGCGGGCGTTTTGAAGAAACCCCTCTTGCTCGTCCAGGCCGCCGACAGGCCTGCCCCGACGATGCGCAGGTAGGACGCGTCCAAAATCAAAACTGTGCCAATCCGAGAACGGTGGCATGCACGGACTGCTCTCGGCGCGCGTGGGCATGCGGATCCGGCTCCTGGAAGCGCTCGACCTCAACCGCGCCCCCGTCAAGGATGCCGACGGGCAGATCGTGCACATCGTCGTGGACCATCGGGATCGGAACGACGACGACAACGCCGAGAAAGACGGGGAAATGAGGATCTATATGAAGCACTTGCCGCTGGGATTCTGGGTGCGCATGAAGAAGTACGCGGGAGGGCACGAGCGCCACGACGAGAGCCTCACGGGGGACCTCACGGGCCCGCTGGTGTTCATCGTGCCTCGCACGTCGGAACTTTTCACTTTCCGCACTTCCAAGGGCGCCCGAACTGGCTTCCCGCTCTCGCACGGTAGGGCCATCACAGCGATTGCGTGCCGAGGGCGCACAATGCGAAAAGGCGACGGGGCGAGAACA